CGGGGTGGGCCCTGCCTCTTGGGGCCGGGGCTCTGTATTTCAAACAGAGGGATGGGTTCTCGCCCCGCGTGGTGGCATGTCGGGGACCCCCCGCCCCTGCACCCCGTCTGCAGCAAGATGAGCCTCTGCCCGCCAGTAGAACAGAGGGGGGTTATTGCTCCTCCAGGATACAGCATAGCACAGACGTGCTGCGGTTTCAGGAGTCAGGGCCAGGCTGCCTCAGACCCCTTGGGTTAGGGGGTCCATTGTCGTCACTAGACCCTCAGCTAAGGCTGCTCCCTTCATGCTTCCCAGGCAGCAACTGCCCCTTCCCCCGAAACCTCCCTTCCTTTGTTCCCTGCCTGCCCTCAACCGGTCCGACAGGTTGGGTCTTTTGTGACTTAAGGCAGCCGTCCGGCTGGGCAGTGCTACAGGTACCGGCCAGTAGGGGTCACCCCAGCCCACGCACAGCCACCAGTGAATGCCCAGAGGGTGTGGCCTGCCCACTACATCACATCCCGGCCGGAGTTTCTGGGTTAAAACCGTTGGGTGAATCATAGACTCCTAGAAGTGGAAGGGACCTCGCGAGGTCATTGAGTCCAGTCCCCGGCCCTCACGGCAGGACCAAGCACCGTCTAGACCGTCCCTGCCAGGCATCTGTCCAACCTGCTCTGACATATCTCCAGGGATGGGGATTCCACACCCTCGTAGGCAATTTATTCTAGTGTTTAACCTCGCTGACGGGCAGGAAGTTTTTCCTCATGTCCAACCTAAACCTCCCTTGCTGTAGCTTAAGCCCGTTGCTTCTTGTTCTATCCTTGGAGGCCAAGGAGAACAATTGCCCCCCCCCCTCCTTGTGACACCCTTTTAGGTACCTGAAAACGGCTCTCATGTCCCCTCTCAGTCTTCTCTTTTCCAAACTCAACAAGCCCAATTCCTTAGGCTTCCCTGAAAGGTTCTCTAGACCTTGAGTCATTCTCGTTGCTCTTCTCTGGACCTTCTCCAATTTCTCCACCTCTTTGTTGAAATGCGGTGCCCACAGCTGGACACAACGCTCCAATCAGCGCCGAGCAGTGAGACTGGCCTGGGCTATGCAGGCGATCCGATCAGATGGGCGTGAAAGTCTCTTCCAGCCTTAAAATCTGTGACTCTGAAACGGGATTGGCCTGGGTTGGAACCAGTGGGATAAACACCTGAGTGGGGGCAGTGTAGATATTGGATCACTGCTCTCCGCCCGACGGCCCCCGGGTACCGGCCATCCTGTACCCATGCTTGCTGGGTTAACGCACTCCCTGGCGTGCTGGGATGTCCGACCTGGGGATAGAGGCACTCACGCGGAGGTTCTCCATGACTCCTGTGATGGCAGCCCAGCGAGGGCTCAGAGGGTCGTGAGTTCTCTCCCCGCTCGGGTGGAGACCCGCTAGTGGCTGAAGTCCAGGGACTGTTACAGCAGAAAGGTCATGGCGCAAATGGCACAGTCCGGATGGCAAGTGAGGGATACTTGTGCCTGCTGAGCACCAGTTCTCAGCCCCCCGCCCGGAGCCCTTGCCTTGGTATTCATGGGCCCCCGCTGAGATCCGCCCAGCGGAGGAGGCGGAGTGAACGAACAAAAGTCTTGCGAGTTCTCTCATTCTTGGTCTTGCTTTCCCCGGCGTGTCGCAGGGCCCAGCCGGCTTGGAAGGCCTGGATGGCAAAGACGGGAAGCCAGGGATGCGGGTAAGAACACGGGACGGGGTTTTGTACCTGTGTCCCCACGGGTCTGCTGAGAGCAGGGCCCCGGCGGGCGTGGAGGATTCGCTGACCTGCTCAGCCTGGGCCGAGGCACGAAGCGCAGCCCCAATGGGGGGGGGAGTTTGGCCTTCGCCCCAAGTGCTTGGCCAGCTGGGAGGGGGAGCACAGGGAGAGGCTGTTCTCCCCGGAAAGCAGGGAGCGGGATCCCACTCCTGGGGTTCCTCCCCCGGGCGGGATGCCAAACCCACTTGCAACGTCTTGCCACAGCCACCCTAACTGTGTCCTTTGCCTCTTTCCTTAGGGCGACCCGGGTCCGGCAGGACCGCCGGGAATGAATGGGCTTCCGGTAAGTTCTGCCTGAATTCCTGAATAGCCCCCTGAATAGCCCCCGTTTGGGGGACGGTTGGGCCTTTCCTTCCCAGACTTTCATCCTGACCCAGGCCCCTCCCCAAGAGCCCCTCCCGTGCTGCCGACTGCCGGGGCCTGCAAGGATTCAGAGGGCGAGAGTCAGCGGGTAGCCCGGCCT